TTTTTTTTAACCTTCATTTCTTATTTATTTCGCTATTTTACATCCCAGCCACAGTTTACTCTCCCTCCTCTCCTTCCAGTTTTGAGATAGAAAGTGCAGAGGTCGGTGAAGTCTCTTGAAAGGCCCTTGGTTCAGAAAGAGACAAGAGACTAGTACTATGATGAGAAAAACTTTATTGAGGCACTAGTTTATAATCGGAAGTTTCAAAAAAAGCTCACAGAGCCACAATTTTAGTCTTCTTCCTTCCCAGATGGTAAACTGATGAATAAAGTGTAAATGAAAAGAAGACTTTAATCTATGTACTGAAATTATTTCACATATGCATACAATGCATTTTGAGCATTTCATTCCCACCTCCCCCTAACTATTCAGAAATCTATTTCCAACTTAGTTTTGTGCCTTCTTTAGTAACCCATTAGGTCCAGATTGTGCTGTCGTTATCTTCAGGGGTGTGGGCCCACCCACTGGAGCATAGTCAGACTGCCAGGGGCCACACCCTTAAGGAAAACTGACTCTCCCTCCCCCAGCAGCCATCACCAATTAACAACCCCTCCCTTAGGGGAAGGGGCTTGATCCCCTCCCACTCTCCTTGCTGGAATGTTGTCAGGCTTGATCCTGTATAGCTCTTGTGCAGGTCAAAGGGGTGGAACCACTTAGCCTGGCCTGTTCTAGCTGTTCCATTTTAGATACTTTGTTGTCCTCCTTGACCTTTACATTTTAGCATGATACTTATTACAAAGGTCATTATTTTTAATATTGTGTGCAGGTGCCCATGATGGCCAGAGATGGGGAATCTTCCTGGAGGTAGAATTACAGGTGGTTATAAGCTGCCAGACGTGGGTGCTGGGAACTGAACTTGGACCCTCTGCAAGAGCGTTAAGCATTCTTCACACTGAGCTATGTCTTTAACCCCTAGCATAATACTTTTAACTATTAGCATGACATAGGATTCCACATCGCCCTTTTCTTCTTATTTTAATGTGTTATTGCCAGTCACCACTCCTCTGTTGATATGCAGTTTTCTGTTTCTACCTGCATTGGAGTTTCAACATTTTGTGTACACAGGCAATTTAACATAGAGTGAAGTCATCATCTGTGTTATGGTTCTGGTGTGTGTGCAAGAATACACCTGGCAGCTGTTCTCTATTGCTGTATTCTTATTTGAGTCATCTCTCGCATCAAATCTTTGTTTGCATGCGTGCATGCATGCATGTGTGTGCACGTATACTGTTGAAACCGTGGTTAGGAAGTAATCATAGAGTTTGTAAATTACAGACGAACCCAAAAAATCAAGGAGCTCAACCCTTAGGATTTTATAGTAGAGAAAAGTGACGTGATTAATACCACTCTGCTAACTAATGGTATAACCAGTTTTCTCACATCAGGCATGGTGGTACATTCTTACTCTTCCAGCAATGCAGAACTGTGAGTTCAAGTCCAGCCCTCCACTTTTAAAGTAAGACTATAAAAAATGTAAAAATGAAAGAGTAGTGGTTTTTTTTTTCAAAAGAGCAGAAAGATGTCTCCATTATATGTACCAGATGTCTATTATTTCTGTATTGTTTATGCAAAGAATGAAGTGATTCAACTTCTTCCCCCTTAGTGATAAAAAGGAGATGAAGAACCCACCAGCACTATGGAGTATGGCTTGGAAGGAAAACAGTTTGGTTCAAGTCTCGCTCAGAGCCTTGTTTCATATTAAGGTTGAGGGGATTTTTACTTTTTTTCCTTTCCAAAGTGTTTTCATATGTATTATTTCATCTTAGTCTCTCAGTAGGTCTCAGAGGCAGCAAAGTCAGAACTTGTTAGCAAAAGTTTACAGATGAAGAAAATAAGATGGCCAAGACTTGGCTCAGTGATTTCTTCAAGGCCACCTCTCTAATTAGTGACAAGGCCAAGGTTCAGAAGCACGTCTCCTGTTTACAAATACCTTCAAGTCTTAGACACAAAAGTCTAGTAGTTCTTGGGTAATGATCTTTCATCCTGCAGACTGAACTTTACAGATTTCTAAATGCTAACACTGGGACCTACTGAGCTGCACTAAGTTAATTCAGTGCTAAGAGTGATTGTCTAGCACTCTTACAAGGCCCTGGGTTCGATCCCTGGTGCTGTATGACTGCATGTACACACATATCAACAAGTTGTTCCAATTCCTAGCATCAAAAACATTAATGTTTCAAGTCCTAGTATCAAAAACATGAATATAAAAAGAGGGATAAGGGGAAATATCTAAAGGTAGAACACTTGCTTGTCATGAACAAGGCCCCAGGCTCTATCCTTAGTGGTAAATTTCTTGTAAAGGCATCAGCACATTGAGATGGCCCATTTTCTGATTTCTAGAACTATGCTCAAGGTGTTTTTGTTAAATCTGTCTAAATGTTTGAGTGTGGCTTCTTATGTGTTTCGCCTCTAAGTACATAAAGCAGATCATGAACATCTAAGTGACCACTGTGAAAAACTTCCTTGGCATGCTGGGGCATAGGGCAGGCAGCAGGATGTTTTTTTTTTTAAATTCTAAAAGTCTTTATTAATTTCTGGTACTTTTTTTTCCCACAAAAAGCACTGAAATTTTACTGATCTTTGACTTTTCGTACATGACTTTTCACAAAGGGTGGGAAGGCCAGGAATTTCCTTTGATGAGGCTTTATAGCCGTTTTCCTTTCCTCTCTTACCTGAGACTTCTCAATAAGACTTTCCAGCTTAATCAGACTTTTAGTTCATAACTCCAAAAGCGGGTGTGCGTTAGCCCTTTCAAAGTCCTTCATCTCTTTCTTTACTCTCTCCAGCTTCTCTAGTGAAGGGAGCTGACTCAAGCTTCTTCTCAAGAGTCTTTCCTTGAGTCTTTGCTCTATCAGCTCCCTCCCTCGAAGCATGCGCTCCTGGTGGTCTTTGATTTGCACCTGTTCCCTCTTTTTGACCTGCTGTCTTCTTTGTGCTGCCTGGCCTTCGGGCACAATTCTCGGTAGCCTTTCATTGGGAAAAAGTCTACACATTGTGTTCTTGAACTCTCTGGCCTGGCCTGTGCTGTGGGCTTCCCTTTCCATCAGTTTCCTCTCTTTCTCAGATACCCAACAGTATCGTTTTCGCCTCTCCATGCTGTGTTGCTTCTGTCCCGGTTTCACAGCACACTTCTTTCCCCCTCATCGTTTCCATTGTTTTTTCGTCATGGTAAGGCTGCTTTGGCAAGCCAAGAGAACACGCTTCTTCTGTGATGCTTTATATTCCTTTGGTTACTCAGTAACCCAATGTCTTGGTGCAGTTGTGTGCATGCCACCCAGGTTCCAGAGTCAGGGCCTTTACACCAGTGGAGACTCTTGACTTTTATCTTCCTAGTACCTGTAGATGTGGTCGTCAAACCCAAATCTTCCAACTGCTGAGAATCACTCCCAAAGATGAGGGAGATTAACTTGTGAGGAGTGGCCACAGAAGGTAACTGGGCCCAAGGATGCCAAAGTATATGTAACTCTGCTTCTAGCCACTGTGCAGCTGTAAAAGACAGCACAGCTTCAGGTCCAGTGGGAGTTGTAGTACTCTCACTCCGATAGCCTCAGTCAGTGTTCAGGAGAGTTAGCACGGTGGCATTTCTGTTCTCCTCACCTCCCGTTTGTAGATTTTGTAGGATGTTTAAGAAGCAGTGAGGAAGTGGGAGCAGAGAACGGACACCTGAACTGTAGAAAGCTTTCCAATGGAAGGAAGGGACTGGATGAGGTTTACCTGCGATGAGGAAGAAATTGCATAGGAAGCAGGAAAGGACACTTGGCAGCAAGACAAAGTAAGAATGCCCTGTTGATTCAGCATTGACTTGTCAACACTTTCCCTGCTAGTGTGAAGCTCTTTAGAAAGTGACTTCCCACTTGTGGCTGCCGAGAAAACACCCTGAGAGGGGAGATAAACTGCTTAGGTCAAGGCGGAGAGATCAGCGTCAGATGAAGTACCACATTCATCTCTCAGGACTGTTCCTGTAGCTCTTACGCCTGTTCTGAAGGTCAGAGAAATAAGTTCAACTAAGAACAGTTGATTGGATAGTTTTAGGCCCCGTGCAAAAGCTGATTCTTCCAAAAGGCACATCGTGAATCGTGAATTGGCTATCTTATCAATGGATGCTCTTTCTTAGAGGCTTGTTTTCTGCTAGGCATAACTTTGCAGATCCTTGGCTTGCTCATCTCTGTGGGGCAAGTGCAAGGCAGTGCCAGGAGTCCTGGATGACTGGTACTCTCACAGGACTCCCATAGACACCAGCAGGGAGCTAGCTTATAACCGAGCAGGGACATCCTCAGTGTTCCTTTATTTAAACTATGCTCCTAGGCAATGTTCCATCATGACTCCACACAACTAGTGTGTCCTCGGAGCAGCCTACACGCACAACCCCACTATATTCGCTGGTTCTGAGTGTACTTTCCTTTCCACCCGGGTAGGCAAGGTCCAGATTAGCAGACTTGTAAGCCCCCTCCCCCGCTCCAGGACCTGGGTCTCAGGAACTTTTCAAGAAAAGGCTCTCAAAAACTTGAAGGCGCTAATGAGAAAAGTGTAATAGGCCACGAGGGCCATGCACACTGACTTTCACCTCGGTTTGCTTGGACTGAAGGAGGGGCGGGTAGCTCCGCAGTAAAGAGGAGGACCAAAGAGGGGGCCTACTTGAATGAAACAATGTAACAATTGATGTGAGGCCTCGCCTTGCTCCCACTCCTCAGCGATCCTATAGGCGAGGTCCCAGAGACTGCCCCTCCCTATTGCTCCGTTTTCTTGTCCATTAAGCACCATCCCTCCGCCTCTCTTTCCTTCTTTTCTTTTTCCCCCTTCTCTTCCCCCTCCCCCCTCTCTCCAGCTCCGTGTCATTTCCTCCTAGGGCTCACTAGCTGCCTGAGCGTCTCCAGCCGGGAGAGTAGGCGGAGCGGGGCAGCGCGGCGCTGGAGGACGTTGGTGGCTGAGCTGCTGGGGGCGGAGGCTCGGTAGCCCCCGCGGAAAAGGAGCCCGGCGGCGCCTGGCCAGCCGAGCTGAGGATGGAGAACCGGCCGGGGTCCTTCCAGTACTTCCCGGTGCAGCTGCAAGGGGGGGGCGCCCTGGGGCTTCACCCTGAAGGGGGGCTTAGAGCACTGCAAGCCGCTCACGGTGTCGAAGGTAAGGAGCGCTGGCTCGCTCCTCATGGCGTCCAACTTTGAATGGGCTAGAGGGTGCGCAAGAGTGCGCCAGTGAGGGCCTCAGACCCACTTGGCGACTTGGCCGGCCAGAGTCCGAGGGGCTGTAGGCGCACGGAGGGGGATCGTGCTGCGGGAGCGGGCTGCAGCTCAGTGTGGCTGGAGGATGGGACCTGACCCACCCGGCCCTGCCTGAGCTGTGCGCGCAGTCCCACTCGCAGGGCACTGGGGCAGCCCGGCTCCCCCCACGACGAGAAGGCCACTCACCTCCGTGTGGGCTGCAGGAAATGGCGGCTGCTGGGGGTTCTCCTTGTTTCGGAGGCCCCTGCGCCCCGCAGGACAGCGAGGGGCTGAGGGCTGGAGCGGTGGGGCTCGGCGCTAGCTCTCCCTGCTCTCCCTGGGGCTGTCCTGCCCGAGGCAGGTTGCTGGGCTAGGGTCTGGCGCAGAGCTAGGGGGATGAGGCATTGCTGACTTTTCTCAGTCTCTTGTCCCGCAGCCGGACGCACACACACCCCGTCTTCAGCGCCGGGGCGTTGCTTGCTGCCGGTTTCACTCGGCCTTTTCCTCCCTCCCGAGTACTGCCCCGCGCCGGCGCGATTTCTTGCGCGCTGAGAAGTGTGGAGAGAACTTTTGTGCCGTGGAGCACAGCTGTGCTGAAGTGGCCACTAGGGTTGGTTTGATTTAGGAGCCTGTGATCAGCTGGAACCAAGTTGCAGCTAGAGGCCAGGGGAGAGAAGCTCCCCCAAGAGCTCTGGAACCTCCAAAGTGAGGGTGGAGGAGGGAGGCAGTTGGGGCAGTTACTGGAAGAGTGACTTGTAAGACGACTCACCTTGAAGCACTAGATTGCCAGGTGGAGGGACTTCCTGAACTTTAGCCCATATTTGCTGTTGTTTTAGTTTCTCTACACACTCAGCTCTCGCGCGCGCGCTCTTCCAAACCAAGCAAACTACAGTTGAGATTGTAGGCGGTTTTGGCGGGAGGTAGAAAGACGTAGCTTTTTTAAGGTAACAAATGTGACTATAGGGATTCTGTTTTTCCGTGTAGTTAACATAGCACCTGGGCTCTGGGGATTACTGCCCCCTCCTCCATCATTACCCATGTTGCTTTCTCCATGCGATGGAATGGCTCACTAACTAACTTGTATGGGCGTTCTTCAGGTGTCGGGGCAACGCTTTATGTTGCTCGGATGTGAGTCAGTCAGCTCTGGCTCTCTGAGGTGTATTAAGGTAACATTTGGGGGGGTATTGGCAGGGACCTCGAGAGGACCTTTAGCCTCCCCAAACCAGGCGCTCTTCATCCAGTATTTGTAACCAGACTGAAATAGATGTCTTTGTACTGTATTCCTCACACCCCACCCCACCCCCAACACTTCCTTGGGTGTTCTCTGGAGCAAACTACTTAAAAAAATCAAACAGCCCCACTGGAGAGAGGGGTATCCTAGCCTTGAAGAATTTCTTCTAATCAAACTCCTCCTCTTCCCCTCTCTTTCTACCAAGGTCACAATGGGATAAGCAGCCCACGGTAGTCTAGCAGTTCCTCCCTTTCTTTTCCGCCCACAGAATTTTCAGTCGGCCTAGACAACCTGCCCTGGAGAGGTCATTTTTCAGCTTTGTCCAGGCTGACCCAACCTGCCAGACACCTCTGAGAATGCTTGCTGCTGTGGTCCTGAACTATTTTCTGAGCCCATAGGAGCATGGCAGGGGGTGTTACTAAGCATGGGGCAGCCAGCAATTTGTGGTCTGGCGTGGGGATTATTTGGGGGTAGATGAGGGTTTTCTTGGCCACACTGTGAAGGAAGTGCCTCGCGTGTGGAGAGGCAGGGTGCCTTTTAATGATTCCGTTTCTGCTGAATGCACACTTGGCCCCTATTATATGAAGGTTCATTATTACATGCACGGATATGCAGGAGGTAAAATCACTTTACCCATTGCTTTCAAACAGCCTGGCTCCTAAGAGTAAAAACCAGGTATAACTGGGTTAGCTAGGATGTTACATAAAGGAGGTGTTTTTTTTTTTTTCCAGTATAATGTTTGGCTGTTTTTTTTTTCTTAGCAAGCTATGTTTCATTAATCCCATTTTCATTCTTTATACTTTAATGCATTTTTATTTCATTTCATGAGATATTTCATTAATTCCATTCTCTCTTTTTTCTACTTTAGTGTGCTTCCTTTATGCTTTAGAATAATCCAGCTGGCTCCCCACAAGTCTGCATTCACTGGTGGCTTTGGGTTAGAAATAGAGTTGAACTGGTAAAGGAAAACTATCTGGATTCTAATCCTTGCCTTGTCATTCTTTGCTCTGGAATCCTGGGAATACCACTCGCCTTTCCTGGGCATCCCTAGGTCTAAAATGAATTTGAAGTGGGGAGTCCTTAAATGACACTGCGATGGTTTGGTAGGGAACCCATTGTCCTAGCCCTGGCACTCTTTTCACCAGAACTGCTATGTAGTCAGGAAGATGGCTGTTTCACTTGCATCTGATGGTGCTGTGCAATGTGTGCTTCTCATCCCTTACTTCCTGAGCCTATCTCAGACACACTGGGAGACAGTCAGGGAAGGCTACAGAACATCTGATGGAAAACCGACTCTTTAGTGCATCCAGTTGCTTGTTTCAGTCCATCATGCTGTTTATTTACCACGACCTAGAGAATATCTTGATTTTGGGGGGAGTACTACAGGTTGTGAGAAACACGGACTAATAGCTTTCAGGGATATATCTAATCTAGTCTTCTCAGCCTCTAACTCCAGTGATGTTTTCCATGCCATGAAGTCCTCCATGATGACTGGATTTCAGTATACATTAATGAAGTCTGGGCCCAAGGAGGTGGGGAAAGACTGTTTTGGTAACTGAATAACTTAGGTTTGTGAAAGACAGAAGAGCCCAGAGCCATGATAGAAAATGGCAGCAAACCTCCTTTGGTGCTGGGGAAATACAAAAGTAGTTTTGGTTAGGATGATGTGTTGGGAAAGGTAAGGATATCAGGGAGATGAAGGAAATTGAGAAAGGGTGATTGGTAGGAGGAGGAGGTGTGGGATAGGAAAGCTTGCTTTCCATATGCCGTGGACAGACCTTTACACCCGGAAATGATCAGGTTGGGAAAATCATCGCAGATGTCCAGAATTCAGGTGCCTGATTTAGTGAGACTTGTATAGCTATCTGTTGATAATCAAGTGACAAAAAGTGGATAATCAAGTAGTTTTCTATTGATAATCAAGTGCCAAAAAGAGCAGTTAAAGCCAATTGTATTGATTATCGCAAGTTTTAGGAGATAGTTTATGATTTTTCCATATGCTATGGTAGTATTACTAAAGTCAGGACAAATGAAAGAAGATGACCATGAGGGACTGATCCTTTGACCTTACCACGGTTAATTTCTTTGACTAGCTTCTCATACTAGACCAGGGAGGGTATTGTAGAATGAAATGGAGATTTTCTTCTAATCAGATGTTTCTGCTTTACTGTGTAGTGTCCTTATCTACAGTTTAGACAGTTTAGATGAAGGTAACATCTTGCATTGGAAAATAACTTTTGGGGGGTAATAAGTGAACCTTGCAAACTCTGGCACCAGTGAATCTGTATCATATAGGGTCTTTTAGAGGCTACAGAGATTCAAGCAGTATCCTTCTTGTGTGTGGAAGGGATAGAAGGAGGAAAAAAATTGAACTGCAGCCTAAGGTTCCTGGGTTCATTTCAAGTTCGTAAACATGTGCCTTGAAGTTAAACAAGCATAGAGAAAAGAAAGGGTGGGGAGCAGTGTCAGATGCAGGGAAAGGAGGAGGAAAACTAGGATGAAAAGACAGGACAGAAGATTGTGCTCGCTCACCCAACAGATTTGCATTTTTTCTGGCCTGTTTTTTGGTTAGGTTTCTCAATTTAGCACAGTGAGTCAAACGGGGGCTAGTTACTGTTCTCTAACAAAGTGGGGTGGCGTGGGAGAGGAGTCTGCAGGAGAATGCTTACATAGCATGCATGGATATTCCCCTGCCATTTTACCCCTGGCAGATCCAAGTCACTATTCACAGAGTGCCAATAGGCATTCCTGCCTCATGTTCACTATCACAGAGGATGTGAGAATGACTTTGATAAACCCTTTGCTATCCTTGACCTCATACAAAGGCAGGGCCTGATCTTCAATTTCTTCGTAGGCTCTACTGCTTCCCACTCTACCCTGATTGCTAAACTCACAAAAAGAGGGAACTGAAACTTTAAAGGGCGTCCCAAATGATCAGATTCAAGCTTTTCTTGTGACTGTGCTTTTGAGCCCCTGTTGGATGCAGAGGTATATAAGCAATGATATACCTTTCAGATAGTTCAGCTGCGTCAGACCTAGCCCCACCCAGCAAGGGCCTGGCAGTCCCCAAAGTATCTTCACAGGGTATGGATTGTAGGAGATAAATACAGTCTGATTGCTTATATGAATCCTTCCCTGATCTTCCCCACCAGAATCTACAAAGGTGTCTACTGCATCGGTTCTATGACTTATTTCTGCCTTCCTTCCAGAAAGGCACAGCATGTGGAGACATGGAATAGGAATCTATCCAAGGACAGAAGAGGAAGGCAGAACAAGAAGATTGTATAGTATGCCTTGTAAAGTTTGGCTAAGCATTGCATACGTAGGCTTTTAGCTCCTGTCATATGGAACTTGCATAGGATTTTAGGTCTGTCAGATATACCCAGTATCCTGCTGATTTGTCCTCTGAAGGAAAGGGGGCCATGCCTGTCACAGGGTTTTCCCTCTCCGAAACCCCAAAGACAATAGCTCCAGCTGGAAGACACTTGAGCATTGTTATTTAAACAGTTAAAATGTTTTCCCATTGCTTTTCCCAGAACCCTCTCCAGGAATTTTGTTAAAGAGAAAAAGAGACAGTTTCAGACGGAGACTACTAGTTATGGGGCAATTATCATGAGAGGACACGACTGTGTTTATAGTTAGGCTTCGTCCAACCAGAGGAAAATGTGCAGAGCCATCTGTGAGAAGTTAAT